TTGCAGTTTTGGGGAGGGAAGGGGGGGTTTTTTGGGGGGGGGGGGGGTTATTTATATACATGTGGTTGTGTGTGCATATTTCTTTGTCTGAAGTACTCTGACAAACTTTTGTAATCAGTGATTTAAAATACAAATATGTTTTCTTTGGGTTTGCCCTCTAGACCTATACAACTCTTGTTGCTATAAAACCTGTTGTTCATAAACTGATTTACTTTTGATTTTTAATGGCTGATGGAGCAAGCTTTCTGTAAGTTATAAAAGGCTTTTATAGATAGTGGAAAATTTTGGAATATACTGAGTTAGCAAATGGCTTCATTCAACTGAAACTTCTATTTTCTTAGTTGGAAGGTGTCTTGAGCATTGGAAACTTGCATCTTTTTGAAGTTACAGTCACTGTCCTTATATCTCCTTGTTCCTGGTGAACAGTTGCAGCTCATGCAAAGCTGTAGTCTGTTAAATGGAGTAAGAGGAAACAACTGGAATATTAGAATGATATTGCTGTTGACTGTAGTCTGTGAAGACCTAGAGTGAGGTTTTGCAGAGTTGGTTATCTATGTGTGCAGCATAAAGGAAGGGGGAAGATAAGAAACTTGAGTAAACTTGAGTTTAACTACTTTTCCATGCTCAGCTACTTTTTAACTGAGTTTGGTTAAAAGCACCCTTGAAATGAGGAACTACTTCCAACCAAACAATCCCACCAAAATTGTAGTTGTTAAGTTCTAAGTTGAAATGAAAAAATGTTTCAAGCCAGTTTTATCACACAGATCCCTGATGTGTTTGTTTCTATTCTTACTTGGGATGACTGCAGTTTCCTGAATTTGGAATGACTTTGCTGTGCTTGTTTAGGCATAAAATCCATTTTAGAGCCTCTGTTGGAGCAGTTTAGCCCAAAAGAGTTGAATCCTCATTGTCATGTGGCTCAACCTTTTGCATTGAGGTGCACGCTGGGCTGCCTTATGTTGCTTCATAATGAATTAGGAATAGACAAATGCACTTGGTAGGGCTGCAGAAGAGGCAGTATCTGATCAAGGAATGGTGACTTTGCCACACCCATTCCTAGTACCAAACCAACAAGACTATCCAGCCCTTACTTGTTGAAGAGGAGAACAGTGATGGCAGATACTGTTCTCAGTATCACTTTCAACATACTGACCTCTAGGAAGCTGAAGAAATTATGCAGGGATATAGCTAAACATGCTGTATTAGCAGGATTTCCTTCCATAGGCCTGTTCACAAGAGTCGTGGCAGCTAGGTGGGGTGAGGATGGAGCAATGTTGTGCTTGTAGCTACCTCAATGATGCTTCAAGCCAGGAGGCTGCAACAAAATCTTTTGCTTCACTACTGTTCGACATTATCTATTGTCTCCCTTGCCAGTGTAAAAGGTCTATTTAGGTGGCTCTCAGAAGCTGAGAGTCAGTCCTGCTACGACTTGTATGTAAGGGCTACATGGGCAGGAATTGATGGATGTGTTTCAGCAGCTTCTTTTCAGAAAAAAATTACTTTTTGTATTTAAAATCACTCTTTTACCATCTTACTTTTTTAAAGTAACTTTTCCTGCCAAATATTCTAATTTAATATCTTGGTTTCTTAAAGCTGTATTCTTGCTATAATTAAAAAAAACAAAAACAAACCCTGATTGTTGAACTTGCGTAAAATTTTTGCTCAAATCAGATGTAATTTTAGGACTGTTTTTCTTGGGGGACGGGTAAAAGTCAAGCTTCATGTTTCTTGAGTAATATAAAGGATTTAATCTTATTTGGCAGCTTGAGACTCGGAGTTCAGGAGGACTTAGAAGAATTGAGACGGGAAGAAGAAGAATTAAAACGCAAGAGACAGTCTAAGAAGATGAGGACACATTAACTGACTGATGGTGTTGACTTTGTCATGTTTCTGTTACCCTCTGCTTCCATACATCTCTTATTCTACTTCAGTTTCCATTTGCTTATTAAAGGGCAAATAATATTTAAAGGGATAAAGTACCGAAAAGCAAGGCTTTAGTTTGACTTAAATAAGATATTTATTTTTAATACTTGCCAGGGTTGTTTTTTTATGAAGAAATTAATGCACTAATGCATATTAAGTGGGATAAAATGAATAGATATTTCCATTGATTAAACCCGTTCAAGATGCCAGCAGAAATATTGACTAGCTATGCACTGACTCAGAACTGTTTGGCATATAGTGGTAAACCAATTTTACATTCACGTGAAAGAACAGAATAGCATTCTTGTTCCCTAATATTTCTTGACACTTAGAGAAATTGCTTTATATCCTATTCTCTCTTCCAACTTGAGCCTCGAAGTATTAAGATGTCGTCATCTGTTCAGAAACAGCTTGGGTGTAAATTCAGCCCTTGCCACAGATGTTTAAAGCAATAAAGTGCTGCGTATTTTCTGATTTGAGGACCCATAAAAATAATTTGAACCTCTTTATTTCTAAACAGAAAAGCATTTGTCATTTGCAAACTGTACTGTTACACGTACAGCCAAAAGATTACGTTGGATTTTGCTGTGTCTGGAATTCCAATGCCAATCTAATTCAGGATGATAAATACACACCCTGCGAACAGGAATTTCTAATGCTTGTATGTAACATGTGTTTTTGGGCTCAAGCGTATGCTTGGAAGTTCTTTTCCTGCCCTGTAAATCTTCACATTTGTTCAACAGCTTCTGCTGCTTTTACAAACTGTGTTTGGTGCACATGTTTCTTCTTGCATTAAACATCCGATGCGTTAAATGATTTCAAATGTGAAGCAGTCATTTATATCTAATTAGGTTTACTGTTTAGAAAGCACATCAGAATTCAGTTTTGTTAGAAAGTATTTGCAGCTCTTCCATATTAACAACTTCTTGTTGACTGGTTAATACTTATGATTAATTTCATCAAACCAAAAAGCTAAAATGTTATGTATAGCAGGAGATCTAGTTCAGTTACTTACCTTAATGCCCATATTTGCACATTATTTCTAACTATGCACTTAAAGACTGTTTGTTTCAGTAACTGAATTTGTTTACAGTCAGCACAGGGCTCATGTAAGTCTACAGGAGTTGTACTGCAAGTCTGAAGCTCAAATCTGATGTTGCACCTACTTTTGATTTTCCCAGGTTGCCCTTCAAAGTTCACCAGAACCACTACTCAGCATTGCCTCGAGTTCCACGACTCCATTGATAGTACCTCTGGCTTCAGCTGCTGAGGCTGTTACATTTTAATGCTAGATGTACTTGGAAAAGTACAAAAAGGGAGGAAGTAAAGGAATAAAAATGAAAAATTATCCCATAGAAAAACAATAAAGGAACCTTTCCTATCAGGGCTATTCTTAACAATGCTGCTTTTAGGAAGCAGTTCAGATAGCAACCTGTAAGGAACAATCTTGGAAGCTGCTGAAGTTTAAACATCTGAATCTTAATGTAAGAAAAAACAAATTTGCCTTTTTAAGATGTTTTCTGTCAATGGTGTAGCATTTCACTGCCTCAGTAAAACACTGACATGAGTAAGCTATTGGCATGGATTCTATAAACTAATTCAGTATTATCTGACAGGGAGCCCAGACAAAGATACCGTCATCCTTGCTCTCTATGTATTTTTAACTTTCTGTATTAACTAACAAAAACCGTTTATCAGTGTATGCACTTGAGACCATGCAAGATAGTATAACCTCTCTGCTTGTCTAGAAGTGTGTTGTGTTCACTCTGCTTCACTGGGACCATTTGAAGTTTTCTGTTGTAGTTTCTAGAATTACCCATTGAAGACCATGAATACCGGGACCATGACCAAGTTACTGAGATTTTTTTCTTTTTAATTCTTTTTAGCTTTTTAGTTGGCTCTAGGCCTGCCACCCCTGACAGCTAGATGAGCTGTGAGCAACTTCCTGCCTGGTTGGGAAAAAAGTCTCTTATGAAGCAAAAGAAATATATTCAAAATGGGTTCAGTTGGGAATTGAATCTGCATTTCAGATAAATAGAGGTTAAATAAAACCTGGTTATTTCACCTTCCTGATTTTTTTAACCATGCAAGATCAGTTAAATTTCTTAATCTGTAAAGCACTTTGTCATTTGTCTTTTAGATGGTGACTGGAATGTACTCTGCTAGCTTCCCTAAGACACTGTTACAACTGGTACTTCACACAGTCATCATTGCTTAAATTTTGTCTACTTCATGTGAAAAATTATTCAAGGACACAGTTGTAATTTTACAGTCAAGAAGTACTTTCTCATAATTGGCATGGGATGCTAATGGTTTTCAAATTTTGTACAAATGTTTGGGTTTTAATGTGCTTGCATTTGCTGCATATTTGTAAATCGGCTATGAAGGAACTAAAGCTTTGGGTTTTAATTCCTGACCTTGTATCCAAAAACATGTTTACTCTTTGCCAGGTTAATAGTATTAACCTAATGAGAGTACTTCAATACTTGTCCAAAGTGCATCTGAATTTGAGGTTAAGAAAAACTGGAAGAATGCTTATATTGGTTTACAAGGATCTGATGTTAAGCTAATGATTTAACTATATTTAATGAGATTCTGGTTTGGTTTTTAGATTCTTAATTCACTGTTTGACAATGTGCCTTTTTTACTAAATTGTGTCAAAAAAATAATGAATGTAGGAGTATAAAAAGGTTAGTTGGTTTCTGCTATCTCAGATTCTATATCCTGAAACTTGATAGTATGAAATTACATACTTTTCATAAAACCCTTCCAGGTCTGGATTTGATTGCACAATTACAGTAGTTACTTCCTTACTGCTAATGCTAAATCAAATGAAGGGCACTTTCTATTGATGACTACTTTTTGAAAATGTCTTGTATTTACACTTGAGCTGTATTTCACTTTACAGCGACGTCTTTTGGAGGCCAGGGTTTTGCATATCACAGGAAGCCTTAGTGTGCAACTCTGTGCTGTGCTTTAAAATAAAAATCTTTCAAGAAGTATATGAGATCTCTATGGAAATCTGGATTTATTTTTGTGTAAAGCCCAAAATATTGTCCAGGAAAACAAATTTTCTATTATTTTTGCATTTTGTAACATAATCTAGTAGCTAATGCATATTTCTAGATAGAGCATATTTCTGGAGACCAAAACATGTCAGAAAGAAAATAAATATATGGAGAGACTGGTGTTTAAATTGTGATGAATGTACTTCTATTTATTTTGGTGAGTGGGTGTGATGCAATATTAAAGTGTCAGTGTGTAAATAAGGGTGCTTCTAGTTTTAGCCAATGATATTTTTTTCCTTTGGGGATATCATTTGTGCACAATGTCTTTTTACATAATGTGACAAATCAGGTTAAAAAAACTCTACATGGCTTAACTGTTTTCTGGTGCTGTCAAGAAAGTGTACACTTTTGCACACACCGAATGCATATAAGTTTTGCAGAGTATGTATACAATAAATTACAGGCATTAAACATTTTACTGCTATTTCTCATTGGTTTGCTTTTACAGAAGAGTTTTCAGAATTCTTCTCTTCTGGTTTCCTCTGAGGTGTCACATACAGCAGCATTAGGCTGAATGTTCTCCAAGAATTGGTCTCTTTTTCTCACACAGCCAGCAGAATGTATGAAAAATTAATGGAGTCACTTAAGCATTCAGAGAAGACCTGAAAATCATCAACATCTCCTGCAGTTCGGGCTTGTGACACAATACATATTTGGAGGTATACGTGTGTGTTAGCATTCTAAAATACAAGTGTACCAGTTGCCTTTAATCTCTTCCATTGGGGTGTGGTGTTTCATCCTGTAGTTTCACGAGCAGTGTCTTTCTCAGAGTCTCTTATTCCCGTGGAACAGTTTACTGTTTTGATGAGTGAAGGTAAATAGCACTGGCTGTTCTGATCAGCTAATGCCGTGACCCACTTCCAAATAGATAAATGAATGCACATCAAAGAGAGCCCATCTGCTGTTCCTTTGAAACAGCAACACTTGCACACTCTTGGGATTTTAAAAAAATACTACTTTTAAATCATATTGCAAATTAGCATTTAGCGAGTGTCCTATGAATACCTTGTTTTGAAGGCACAAAGTCTTACCTTCTTACCTTGTTTGGAAATACCTGGTATGCATTTACCTTGATTTTTTTTTTTTATTATTTTTTTTTTTATTTTTTATTCTTTAAATGTATCTTAAATAGCTGTAGCCAGTCATTATCCTCATTATTTCAAAGCAAATGTATTCTGTTCAAGTAAAGGGTGATTCTACACTGTTATTTTAATCCAGCCATTAAAGCTGTACTTCTCTTGGAAACAATAAATTTATTTTACTCAGACTGGGGAGGGACAAGGGGGGGAATACAGGTTTCCTTTGTTTGAGGGCAACTTTTACTTGTAATTTATTTGAAATCACATTTTTAGTTCCACAGGACAGAACTGCAGTTTAGCCATCCCATAGATCGCCTTTTCTTACCACTTGAAAATAATATAGAAATGTTTTATTTTTCCATGTGTGTATGGATCCAAAAAGCCTGTGACACACCTTGTTTCACATACTTGGAGATGAAATCAAAGACAGAAGAGGTTCCTAAAGTAATACAACATGTCACCAGTTTAGTCCTGACTTCCCTGTCCACAACAGATGAATGGTTTTGTTTTCCCAAATCATGTTTAATTTGCTCTGGGGACCTTCACGGGAGTTTTGGTTTCTACCTATATCCTTTCCCCTGGCAAAATCATAATTTTTTTTCTTTGTATGCTGGATGCAACTTCTGCCTGGTGTCTCCACATTTCCCAGCTGAGGAAACACAAGTATCCGATGCCTTCTCCTCTAATGCTACCCATGTGGAAGTTGATATCAGTTGACAATTTAAAGAGAATTGAGAGTTTCCATGGCTTGTTAAAGGAATAGGCTTGACTCTGACTTGAAAAACACTTG